AGTGATTAGGTATGTTGAAAAAACTCAGAGAGTGCAGCTCAAACTTCACATGCAGCCCCGTGGAACAGCAAAAGACCAGAGCCAAGTGACTAGTGATTAGAGTTGGTTGGGAATTTTTCATCAAAACGTATTTTTCCGATGGAAACAGCTATTTAATCAAAGCCCAAGCTTTTCACGGGAAAGTGTTAATTAGAAAAAATGGGGGGAGATTGGAAATTACATTTCCAAAACAAAAATTTCAGTTTTTTCTGGTTGGTAACAACTTTGTGTTTTGGAATCTGTATTAAAAAACAACCCTTTTTGGTACAAATTTATAATGGTGAAAATCGAGTTGAAATGATGTGAGGGACCCAAAACAAGATTTTTTTTTATACTGTTGAATTCACAAAAATTTTTGAAATTTCAATAGTTCGTCCTGATTCAGAATGGGAAAAATGTTTGAAATCTCAAAATGTATCATGGGACAGGATAACAATTTCCCGACCAGCTCTGCTAGTGATTTTGGGCACCTCAGGGGATGCTCATGTTAGGACACCGCAACTGGGCCTGATTCTCTCATATTGCTGAGGATGTGCCATCTGAAAAGTGAGGGCCCTCTGAGACGTCTCAGTCTAGCCACCCAAAATTGCCCTTCTAGGAACTAGGAATTGCCACATCAGATCAAAGATCTAGCTAGACCAGTCCCAGCTGCAAGAAACCCTGCACTTGTGGGGTAACCTACCCCCGGGAAAGATCCCATTTGTTAAGTTAGTACCTAGAGACCACCCCAGAGCCCCATGGTGCCAACTGCTGCACAGACCCTGACTGAGATCAGGTCCCCATTGTACCAGGCACTCCACAGATCCTGAGTGAGATCAGTGCTCCCATTGTAGAAGGCACTGCACAGACCCAAATTGAGATTAGGGCCCCATTGTGTCAGGTGCTGCCCAGATACATAGTGACAGCAGTCTCTGCTCTTCACAATCATAATAGACAAGACAGACTGAGGGTGTGAGGAGAAAAAGATGAATGGAGAGAGGAAGTGATTTGCCCAAGGTTACGCAGGGGGTCAGTGGCAGAGCAAGGAAAAGAACCCTAGTGTCCTGATTCCCTAGTCACTCTACTAGTCCACAGGGCCTGCTGAGAGGTACTGCTTGGTTTATTGCCTGTGAGCTCCTTAGCCCCGATTTTTCTCATCACTGTGGCTTATGCTAATAGCTCTGTTTGTTATGATTTCAAATTCACAGGCAGACCGGCATGGGTTTGAGCAACACCATGGCGCGTCTGGGCAGCATCATTGCCCCATTGGTGAAGATGTTGGAGGAATACATTTCCTTCCTGCCACTGATCATTTATGGAGCTGCCCCAATCATCTCCGGCATTGCAGCGACCTTTCTGCCCGAGACGCTCAACGTGCCATTGCCTGAGACCATAGAGGAGGTGGAGACACGGTTAGTAGAATCTATTGGGAGGCAAGAACAGTAGCCATGACGCACCTTGTGGGGGCTTTGTGATATAGACATGGGTCCACTGAGAGAGAGAGAGCACAAACAAGAAATGATATGCATGATTAGATAGAGAAGAGCGGCCATACTGGGTCAGACCAAAGGTCCATCAAGCCCAGTATCCTGTCCTCTGACAGTGGCCAATGGCAGGTGCCCCAAAGGGAATGAACAGACAGCTTATCAAGTGATCCATGCCCTGTCACCCAATCCCAGCTTCTGGCAAACACAGGCTAGGGACACCATTCTTGCCCATCCTGGCTAATAGCCATTGATAGACCTATCTTCCATGAATCTATCTAGCTCCCTTTTGAACCCTGCTATAGTATTGGCCTTCACAACACCATCTGGCAAGGAGTTCCAGAGGTTGACAGTGCGTTGTGTGAAAAAATACTTTCTTGTGTTTGTTTTAAACCTGCTACCTATTAATTTCATTTGGTGGCCCCTTGTTCTAGTATTATGAGGAGTAAATAATTCCTTATTTATTTTCTCTATACCACTCATGGTTTTATAGCCCTCTATCATATCCCCCCTTAGTCGCCTCTTTTCCAAGCTGAAAAGTCCCAGTCTTATTAATCTCTCCTCATACGGAAGCCGTTCTATACCCATATTTTCTGTCTTATTATCTATCCCTTTCTTGATGATTCCCAACATTCTGTTTGCTTTTTTGAATGCCACTGCACATTGACAGGATGATTTCAGAGAACTATCCACAAAGACCCCAGGATCACTTTCTTGAGTGGTAACAACTAATTTAGACCCTATCTTTGTATATGTACAGTTAGGATTATGTTTTACAATGTGCATTACTTTGCATTTATCTACATTAAATTTCATTTGCCATTTTGTTGCCCAGTTACCCAGTTTTGTGAGATCCTTTTGTAGCTCTTCGCAGTCTGCCTGGGATTTAACTATCTTGAGTAGTTTTGTATCATCTGCAAATTTTGCCCCCTCACTGTTTACCCCTTTTTCCAGATTGTTTATGAATATGTTAAATAGGACTGATCCTAGAACAGACCCCTGGGGGACCCCACTATTTACCTCTCTCCATTCTGAAAACTGACCATTTATTCCTACCCTTTGTTTCCTATCTTTTAACCAGTTACCAATCCATGAGACAACCTTCTCTCTTATCCCAGGACTTATTTTGCTTAAGAGCCTGTGGTGAGGGATCTTGTCAATGGCTTTCTGAAAATCTAAAAACACTATATCCACTGGATCTCCTTTGTCCGCATGCTTGTTGACCCCCTTAAAGAATTCTAGTAGATTGGTGAGGCATGATTTCCCTTTACAAAAACCATGTTTACTATTTCCCAACAAATTATGTTCATCTATGTGTCTGACAGTTTCAACCAATTTGCCCAGAACTGAAGTTAGGCTTATCAGCCTGTAGTTGCCAGGGTCACCTCTGGAGCCCTTTTTAAAAATTGGCATCACATTAGCTATCCTCCAATCGTTTGGATAGATAGATAATCTGATCCCATTGACTGCAGTGTAGCTATGGCTGATTTACACCAGGTGGGATCTGGCCCCATTAGCTCCAAGCATGTTTTATGCCAAGTACATCTCTTGATGCTTGTATAAATGTTAATATTTACTGATATTCTTTTTCATCGAGACCCAGGCATCTGAGACATGAAGAACAACAAATGAAGATCCTTCTGAAACCCACCATGCCAGACCCAGCGAAGGAAGCCCGTTAAGGAAAGAAAAACAAGCAACTGTTATAGGGGCTATGGGTACAATTTTCAAAAGTGCCTAAGTGCCTTAGGAGCCTACGTTCCATTTTCACCAGTGACTTAGCCACTCCCATGAGAGTTAAGTGCCTCATCTACCTGAGCACTTCTGAAAATCCCACTGGGCACTTATCTGTATCTCTTGGCACCTAAATACCTTTGAAAATGTGGCTCCCAATCACTTTCGAAAGTGGGGGATTAGGCACTTTTGAACACTCCACCCTATCTCTTTTTCTGTTTTAATCATGGCAGAAGTAATATGCAGGCATCAGTGACAACTCCATAGGGATTGAATTTTGCACTTAATGCAGGGAATCAACCTCTTCAAATAGCATGTTGACCTCCAAATCACAGCAGGAATTTATACCACGGGACCTGCTGCTGTGCAAGGTGGGGGACAAGAATCAATTACTCTATGTAGCTCCTCCATGGAGTTCAAAACCCGGTGTTGCACTCTGCTGGGATCAAACATATGGTACCCAAGAGCTCAGCAAATACTTTCGGGCCAGATCCTCAGCACGTGTTAATCCACGTAGTTGAGGATTGGCCCAGTACTGCAGGACAGTCACGGGGTGGCAATTCTTAAGGGAATTCTGTAAGAATATGTACAGAAATGGTGACAGAATATAGGAACTGCTGGACTGATCCCAGCCAAGGTCCATGTAGTCTCTCTGACAGTGGTCAGCAATCGATGCCTTAGAGGAAGGTGTAAGAAATCTGCAGTGGGCAGATATGAAATAATCACCCCATTAAGTCTCATCCTGATCTTGAACAGTCATTAAAGTTGGGGGGGAAATTGATTTTTCAGCTCACTCGCACTTTGGAAAAATCAAGGGGGAAAAAAAACCCACACGTTTTAGCTGAAAATGAAATGGTTCAAAATTTTCAGCATATCAGAGTAACAAATGTGTTTCAAACTAAACATTTTGCTTTGATTGCAAATTGCTTTTAAATTTTACTATTTTTTTATTTAAAAACAAGTAAAGGAAATTTCTAAATGAAGTTGTGTCAAATTGAAAAAATCAAAACATTTAGACTTTTTTTTTGGAATTTTCCCCCTGAAACAAACAATTCAGCAAAACCAACATGAAATCGTGAACTATTGCAGTGTCACCAAATCTGCATTTTTTATCCCAAAACAGTTTTGGTTGAAAAATGTCTCACAGCTCTGCTAGTCAAGATTGGCTTAAGGCCCAAAGCATGAGGTATATACGCCTTCTAAAACTCTTTGTTGTATGATTAGTTTCAGAGTAGCAGCCGTGTTAGTCTGTATCCGCAAAAAGAAGAACAGGAGGACTTGTGGCACCTTAGAGACTAACAAATTTATTAGAGCATAAGCTTGCATCCGAAGAAGTG